TGTATAAACCTCCAGTCTTGTATTTAAATATAAAGTTAAAACCCAATTAGATTTGTTATGGGCATAGAATCAGAGTTCTAAATTAATTGATAATAAATTAAATTGTAGATTAAAATTAAATTAACAAATTCCTCGGCAGAATGTAGTAGGATCTGGTTACCAATATTGAAAGAGGAAGTTATTAATAAGAAAATACCAGTATTAGTAAGTCAGTAACATATAAAGGATACATCATTTATGTTTTTTAAATAACGTAACATATAAAATCAGAATTTTTGATGTTTGTTGAAGGTAAACTAAATTCACGAACAAATACTTACAATGTCGGGATAGTATTATGAGGTTTTTTTCCTGGTTTTTCCCTCATAATTTACTATGGAATCACTAACAGAAGAATTTTATTGTCATCATGTCATGTGTTTGTCTTTTTAAAGACGAATTACATGCTGTGATTTTTTCTGACGGATATTCTCAAGTTAAAGTTGATTTCATGTAATCGAATGAACTATCTTATAAGTAAAGTCGTCCCAGGAGCGCAACTCAACAATATTGGCAATATCATTTTAAAGTCGTCTACTTTAAAATGCATAATGTATGTGTGAATTGTCAATATAAATGAGTCAGATAAAATTAAATTATTAGAAGAATTTTTTCACTATGTAACAAAAAAACAAAATTTGTTTAATTTACTGTTTGTATTTTGAGAACGATTTCCGAATTGGAAATTGAAACGTCAATAAACGTATTTTTATCTTTAATTGTGGTTTATTCCCAGTTATAAATAGTAATTAATATACAATGCCACAAGAAAATAGCTTCAGAACAAAATTAAATTGTAATATCGATATAAGGTTGAATGCTCGAATAAATGAACTTTGAAAAATGAAAGGCAGATATCGGGCAGAAAGTACTTGGGCAAGATTTGATGAATAAAATTGTGCTCGATATCTGCCTTTAATTTTTCAAATTAAATAGTAATAGACGAATTGAGACTTTTCAAGTGGGGGATAAAGTCCTTTGTGGAGATTATCGTTATCTTAATCGTAAAACATGGGCAAAAGCACTAATAGATGAACTTTAGGTGACAGGAGATATTTTTGTAAGTTAACACAGGAGGGTTAATTTGGAAAAGACGTTTAAACCAGATTTTGCGAGATAAAGGATCTGATTCTAACTACGATAGTCTTATTGAAACCATGGTAACTGATATAACTAATAATAATACAATTAGTACCAATGTTGGACCCCTCTCAGCTGTAAGAGAAGGGGAAGTGTTAAAACAAAGTGATATTGAAGCGAGAAATTTTGAAGAACCGGTAATAAAGTAGCAAATGAAGCAGTGGTTAGTGAGGTTAATGAGAAACCAGAGACCAAAGAAAGTGTGACAGCAGTTCCAAGTAGACCAAAAAGAAATGTAAAACCACCTGTGCGTTTAAACTTATAGTAGGGAGGTATTGTAGTATATTATAATAGGTATACAGAAAAGAAGAAGATAGCCATGGAACATATGTAATGTCACTTGTCAATATAAACAGGTTTATAATTATTATTTCCCTGTATCTAAAAATGCTTCTTTTCGATTGCACAGGTACATTTTTTGAAATTACATATCTTTATTTACAAATTCCACCTAATTCCGTCTTCGTAAAAGCATTTTGTTTGACGTGAGATAATTTGTGATGTGAAAGTTTAAATTCAGCGTTTTTAAGGCATATGTTAAATGTCTTATGTCTGTTGCCTAAACTCAAGATCGAAATTTCATATTATAGGTTTTAAAGAGTAGGCTCTAAGAATGGGAATTCGATAGTAACCCGTTAATGGAATTGATAAATTTTATTGAGCTCGTGAGAGTTATAAAAAATGGCAAAAATCGGACAATGTTTATTTATTGAACAGCTTTATAGAAACCATTTGCATCTGCGGCAAAATGCAAAAACTGCATACGAAAGCTGCACTCTTCACCTTGCAAACACATTTTGACTTTTATCTGTAGTAAGGGAGCAGGGGGAACTGCGCTCACTTAAGCCAAAACTTGTTTTTTATTTACTTACTTGATTAAAAAAGCCTTGAAAATTAATTTGAGTAAAGAATACTTATTTTTCTAGCATTTGATTAAGAAAACTGCACTAAAAGTATTTATGTTTGTTGGTTAGAACAACAAAATATAATTACTGCCTTGAGCGCAATTACCCACACCTATGGGGTAATGGCGATCATTAATTTACAGATAGTTATAATATAGATTAACACTAAACAGCAACTAATATTAAAATATTTATTAAACAAATGAATAAAATAAACATTAAACTCCAAACAAAATTCACAAATTGCGTCAAAAAGTTAAAATAGCAGTTAAAACTAAGAATGAAAAATAAAAATCCTTTCGCCACAACGGAAGCAGATATTATTTTCCGTATCTTGCATATCTCCTATCTCGTCAGGTTCATTGTCATCAGTAATTCCAGTCATGCTGACATCTGAATCTTCACTAGAAATGTCATCAAATTTGACCTTCTTTGTCACTTTGCGTACTTTTTCCTCTTTGATTTTAGTGGTTTTCGATTTTTCAATTTTTTCATTCTTCTTCTTATGTGTTTCTTCCAAAAAATCTTTCATTGGTGTTGATGTTAGTATTGTAGATGTCTGTTTCTTTCTATCAACTTGCCTTTTATTTGCTCTATTGTGTATTGTAGGAAGAGGTGTGATATTATGTAATGATGTTTCAAGGGCTTGAAGTTTATCGGTAGCAGCATTTCCGCTATTTTTGTTAGAGGATTTTGCATCATTGGATGAATCATTGGTTATTCTATTTACAGAATGGGAAATTGTTCTACTGGTAGAAGGCTGCTGTTCATCTGCGACAGTATTTGTCGTGTTATCCACAGTATGGTCATTTTCTTGATCATTAAAATCTGGAAAATCGTCATTGAATATGAAGGGGTTTAAAGGATATATACCGGCAGAACTAAACCCTTTAATGGGCTTTTCAATCGAGGCAACTTTTCCATAGGCCTTGTTGAATAATTCAGCAATCTCATAATTTGTTATTTTTTCTAAAGGTTTTGATTTCATAAATAAATCGCATTCACGATTGTAAGCTTTTTTTAGAGGACCGTAAAAACAAATATCCAAAGGCTGCAGTCGATGCGAGGTATGTGGAGGGATAGAGAGTAGAACTATTCCATTTTCACGGCAGAAGTTGTAACAATCGAGAGAAATATGGCTGCTGTGATTGTCGGTAATCAAAAGAACGGGATTGTCGTTTGTAGCATTTGAATGTTTTGTAAAATGTTTTAACCACTCACAAAACAATTCCTCCGTGATCCAACCAGATTTTGAGCATTTGTATATTGATCCAGGGGGTCCATTTTTTTGTAGCTGAGGAGTCATTCTTTTCCTTGCGAATATAAACATGGGAGGAATAAAAGCTCCAGAAGCACTAAACGCACAGCAAACGGTGGTGGTTTGGCCGCGTTCTCCACTTGTCACTATCCCTACCTGTTTTTGTCCTCTGGGTGCTAGTATTTGTATGGGCTTATGCACCGTACTAATCCCTGTCTCATCCATATTGTAAATCGATGAAGGATCAAATTTGTAGCGTTCCATGACATTTTCCAAGTTACGAAAAAATGTTGCTACGTTTTCCTTAGAAAACCCTTTAACTTGGTTAAGACTAGTTGCCTCTGGCTTTCTAAGGCTAATTTGTGGATTTCTTTTTAAAAATCTATGTAGCCAATCTTTCCCTGCTAACTGAGTTGCTTCATTAAACATATTTTTATGTTATTTGCTTTCGCAAATTGAAAAGCAATCCTTCTGAATTCAAGAGCTGTGAGTCCGTAAAATTGATTTGATAATTTTAAAACATGACTCTGAATTAACCTTTCTTGTTCTGTAGGAAATGTGGACCTTCTTCCGAGTCGAGGGTCATAATAATTATCTTTAAGTCTATCTCGAAGGGAACTGTATGGCACTTGGAAAGTACGTGTCACTTCCCTAATTTTTCTTCCGGACCTCACAGCTTCTATGGCAGCTATTATTACTTCTGGTGACCATTGTGCTTTAGTGGTTGTCCTTTTTCTATTACGAACCATCTGAAACCAAATAATTATGTATAATTAATCATAATTTTTAAGATTAACAGCCAAATACCAGTTGGGGCAATGCCGCCCTCTAAGGGGGTAATCACGATCAGCTTGAGCGGAATTGCCCCAAACTGAAAGCTTCAACAAATATGGTGACACAATTTTTCTAGGTTACAATAAGTAAATAGTGTTCATGCTAAAATACATCCAAGACACATCTCATCGAATAAGTATATGATATAATACTACAAAATAACGTTATTACAACTTACCTTCAGATATTTGCGACAAAAATATTACAGTAAAATCACAAAATTTCACGTTTTCTGTCAGAACCGCCGACCGATGCTAAATATCGACACAGTTATACTTCCGTTCCGATTAGTTCGGGAGGGCTCCGAGGAGGCAAGGACATCAACCGGGACGTAGTAAACTCGACTGGGCTAGGTAAACTGTGGTGAGCGTCATTCCCCACTGAGCGCCATTCCCACCTTCTCCCCTATACTCTGATCAGAAGATATTAAATTTTTATCGTCGAATTGATACTCGACGAGTCGATTACAAATTATGTTTAAAAAATTGATTTAGCGCGCTTAACTGACATTCAAACTCGCCAATCTTTTCAAGCGTTGTTTCTGAGGGAAGCGTTCATTCCACACAAAAAGTGCTAATAAACAATTTTGTTTAAAATTATCTCAGCTACATTTCTTGTTTGATACATTTTTTCTACGATGTAAAGATTCTTGGTAAATCAATGTTTTCCGTTGGTATCTTAAGAGTATCGAAAGCTAATTTTTAAGACAAGTTTTGAAATTATTTATCCATTTTGTAATGCCAATATCAACTTTAAAGTTTTTTCTTGAAGCTTCTGAAACCCTTGACTCTAGTATTCTTAAAATTACATGGTGATATACCTACCTTCATATCCAGGTACCATAGGATGCTTATAAATCGTATCTCCATGTCTTTCGTTCACAATATCGATATCTCTCGTTGCAGGTCGGTAGGTCTAAAAAAAACAGCATTTCTAGTTTATATAGATAATAAGCATAATTAGCTTACTTGATAATCATCTGCCGTTCTGTCGGATAAAACAAGTCTCTCGGCATGGTGCACTGTTGGATCTAGTAAAACCTTGTGTGTAGTAGTACCGTAAGTGTCTCCTAAACGGTACTTATATTGTGGACAAAAGCCAGTATAGCTACAAAAAAATAGTAAGTGTTAGGGACATTCTAAATAGGTTAATAATAGTGAAAGCAGTGACGAATAATAGAAAGGGGCACATGCCCACTTGTAGATATTTATTAAAAGGGTTTGTCTTTTTAATCGTTATACTCAAAATGTACGATTTACTACGACGTTTAGCTTAAGTCTGCGTAATTGTCTTTGTCTCCACTTATTCTACGTCGCTACGAAATATGCTTCTTTTTGCTTTTTTTTTGCTTTCTACTGCGCTGTCAAGTAGGTACCTAATATCAAAACCGTCAATCAACTTGTAGTAAAAAACCAGTTATTTTTGTCAGTAATTTAACTTAAGATCTGTTCGGGGTGGACATTAACTAATAATGAAATTGTTGCAGTTGCAGAAATCAATGCAGTTGAAAGATATGTGTAAAAGAGATGATATTAAATATGAAATCGAAGAAAAGAAGTGATCAAATCAGATGATGAAAGACAACGAGAAATGTTTGTAAGGCAAAGTATTAACCACACAATTAAAATCGAATTTGGTGAAACATTAGGTATAAGTAAGTTGATAAATCTTCAAAATTAACACATTTTATATATCTTACCCCGGGATAAAATGAGGATTTGGTGAAGAAATTAACTCCATGATTCAGTAATCATTTCGAAAAAAATTGTTTTACAAATTATTTTGCAGCATTTATACACTCAATACAATTTACTTTTTCTTTACTACGTTGTATTATGTAACAATTTTGATAACATACTGCCCTTTCAAACATATTTTGATTAACTATTCATGTCACGTAGATGTTACCTTAGAAACGAAGGTGGGTACCTATTTAAATACAGTAGTTATGTATGTTTCTAAATAAAAAGAAATATGTAGGTATATAAAAAAACATAAATCTGCGTTTTATCTGCTATTATCAAAAGTTTTTAAGAATTTTCAAATATAAAAGTACCTATTTTCAAGACCAATTTGGTTTTATAGTAGGTAAATCAAATGACTCGTTTTATGCCGATGGTTGCGCCAAACGTAGACAACTCACGTTTCGTTGTTCCTGTATTGTCTTGAGTTTCAATATTTCCTTAAATAAAAAGGAAGTAAACGTCAAATGAACCAACATGCTGACATATGACAAAAATCACAAGATAAACAAAACGAAAACGAATACCTTGAACATTGGATGTGAAATGTGATTCTTTAATTTATCCTTAAAATAAAAATGTAATTTGGAGATACACAACACGAAGTACTTTTTTAAAAGCAATACACAATAACTGTCTAGTTAAACATGGCTGAAGCAGCAAAACCAGGGGCGCAGCCCCTTGTGAAGATTGGTCACTACGTATTGGGGGCCACCTTAGGTGTAGGCACTTTCGGTAAAGTAAAGATCGGCGAACACCAACTTACGGGTCATAAAGTCGCAGTGAAGATTTTAAACAGACAAAAGATAAAAAGTTTGGATGTTGTGGGCAAAATCAGAAGGGAGATTCAAAACCTTAAACTATTTAGGCATCCACACATTATTAAGTTATACCAAGTGATAAGTACACCTACAGATATTTTTATGATTATGGAATATGTGTCTGGAGGAGAACTATTTGATTATATTGTTAAACATGGAAAGTTGCAGGAACATGAAGCGAGGAGGTTTTTTCAACAAATTATTTCAGGTTTGTAGTTCCGCATGAAATATTAAAGTAATAACTAGTATGTAGAATATATTTACAATATTTTTTACCTACTGCTCTAATTTATTTAACATTTGATATTCAGACAATGGGAGTTGTATTTGGATAGGAGAAAAATATTTTTCATGAATAATATATAGTACTGGATAAATTTACTTGCTCAAAGTGTCAAGAAAATATAAATCTTTTTCTACTTCTTGGAGATCTTTCAATCTGTTTAATTCTGAAGCTGCCTCTGGTTAATTTTCTGGGAGGTAGATTTTCAACTAAAACCCTTCATCTTTTAGGTGGTCTTCCGGGAGGTCTTGAACCAGGCGGATTGTTTTCTAGGGCAATTTTTGGGAGTGGATTCTCATCCATTTGTCTTACATGATTGTACCATATCCTCTTACTCTGTCTTCCCCATCTTATAATATATTGAATTTTATACTGCTCTCAAACGTTTGTATTTCTCACCCTGTCTCTTCTTGTTTTGCCCACTATTGTTCTTAGGGTTTTCATTTCGGCAACCATCTTAGCATCTGTTTCGTTTTGTTGGTATCTTCTATGCCATATGTCATGATCAGTTGTATGCAGGTCTTGTAGATTCTAATTTTACTGTCTGTGTTCATATACGGATTTGACCAGACTATCTCCCGTAGACATTCTGACAGTGTGGTTGCTTTGTTGATCTGATTCCTTAGGTCCTTTACTGGGTCGTGTGTGCTTGACATATATATGCCCAGATATTTGAATTGCATCACCTGTTCTATGGGGTTGTCCTCAACCACTAACTTACATCTGAGCGAATCTTTTGCTATTGTCATACATTTAATTTTTTTTTGTTGGTAGAAATGGTCATATTTAGTTGGCAGCTTATTTGAAAGAACTGAAAGATCATTTTCTGATTTCTGATCAGAAGATTTTCATATTTTATGGAAAAGAAATGAACCCTACTTAAATTAATAGTAGTGTCATCTCTAATAGCTGGCACTATTATTTATTTAAACACCTTACAAACACTATAGACTAATAGGAATTACATGTAAAGTGTTTAAGACAAAAAAATACAATAAATGAATGAAAGAAACAAACATTAATAATACAATAATACAAAGAAAAAAATACAATAAACCCCTTAAACCTAGTGCTGATGAGCAAGCAATGTCTTAACTTCACAGCTTTTTACATTAAATATGAGTCAGTCTATTAAATACTTCATTACAAATGTTTAACATATTGGTGATATGTTTCTATAGTAATTTGTAAAGAATAGATCTAGGTTAGTTATCCTTAACCTACTCTTGGGTACTCTAAAGTAAATAAACTCAATTAAACCACAGTTTGTGTACTTAATACTGTTAACAACAAAGTATATGAACATAATGGCCTGACTGTTTCTTCTAGTGGCAAGTGACTGCAACTGGAATGAGTCTAACATTACCCTGTATAAGACCACATATGGATATTTCTTATTTTTCCTTACATACAAAAATCTTAAAAACCGTTTTTGCACTTTTTGAATCATTTCTGAGTTTGAAAATGCACTAGGAGACCAGATGATTGAAGCATATTCCATATGTGGTCTCTCCAGGACATTATAGAGTTTTATAATTGTGCTTATTCTGAAATTTTTGTTATTTCTAATGACAAACCCAAAAGCATGACAAGCTCTGTTAGTTATTTCATAAAAGTGTATATTGAACTTCATATTGATTTGGAATTTAACTCCTAAAGTCTTCATAACAGTCACTCTCTCAACTCGATCATCATTAATATTATAATAATGTTCAATAACACTATTGAGTTTTCGCATCTATGAAACTACTGCACATGTTTTAACATTAAGAGTCATTTTTGAATTGTTAAACCATTGAATAATAACCGATCTTAGATCATCTTGGAATTGACTGCATCTTTCTTATTAGAGATTGTTTTAAAAAGTTTAAAATCATCGGCATACATTAAGCTGTTACAAGATTTAATACAGTCTGGTAAGTCGTTAATAAATAAAATAAAGAGCAATGGTCCTAGTTTGCTCGTCTGTGGGACTCCTGAGGATGACACATATTTGTGAGAAAAGTAATTACCTACTTTTACTGTATTCTTTCTCTCTGACAAATAAGATTTTAATAAATTAAAAGCTTTTCTTGAGAAACCAAACTGTACCAGTTTATTTAAGAGAATACAGTGATTTACCTTATCAAATGCTTTTTTGCAATCAGTATACAGAACGTTGAACTGTTCCCCTGCCTCAATAGTCTTAGAAATATGTTCAGAGAAAACACAGAAATTAGTTAGTGTTGATTTGTCTCTTACAAAACCATGCTGAAATTTGCTGATATTACTCTTAAAATGCTATGGTATTTAAACAATTAAAAATGATGGTATGTTGTTAATGTCATACTTAAAATGATAGTAGGTACCTTAAAAAAAATTAAATGTAAATGTACTTCAATCTGTGATATATTTCTTTTGAAACTTTTAAAATCGTTACTTTAGTTAACATTACTAGCATTTTTTCGTTTCTTTTTTTGTATCTGGTATTTGACCTTTTATCTATAGCTTCGATTTGGGAGTTTTAAACTGACAGTTTCTTTTTTTTATCTGGTATTTGACCTTTTATCTATAGCTTCGATTTGAGAGTTTTAAACTATGACAGCCTAAGAGCACTTATTTAGAGGTTTGAACTCTTTCTTCACAATATTCTTAATATATTTTCTCGATGTGTCCTATAGTAAAACAAAGACTACTTACTGCAATAAAAATACTTTCTTCAACATTTGATTCTCTTTCCAAGTTAATATTTTGAAAGAAAGATGAGCATGAACCTTGGAAGCATATAATACAGCAGTAGTGAATCTTTAGTAAAAGAGTATAAATATGATAGTTACTGGAATCAACAGTTTAAATCCCACTTTTTAATTAAAAGTGTTTCACTCTGGAATATAAATATTTAATGGGATTTGTCTTTTGTGTGTTACTGGCATTATCATTTCTTGTTTTTATCTGGTAATAAGATACAATAGTAAGTAAGGTAGTAGGACTAGAATTGTTGCAGGAATCATGGAACAATTTATCAGGAAAATTGGAGTTGCTGGGTATGCAATGTTTTAAAATCACAGTTTTTTTCCATATGTAACTCAAAATACAAAATAATTGTTAGTGATGTTGCTTGAAATTTCAAAAACATTTTTTAGATCTGCCAAAATATTTTTGAGTATCTTTTCTTTCTAGGTGTTGACTATTGCCATAGACATATGATTGTACATCGTGATCTAAAACCAGAAAATCTACTATTAGACCACAACATGCATGTTAAAATAGCTGATTTTGGTCTATCCAATATGATGATGGATGGAGAATTCCTAAGGACCAGTTGTGGATCACCCAATTATGCTGCTCCTGAGGTAAACAAAGTTATGAGTAATTGAAAATAAACTAGACTTTCAAACTAAATATTTGTTTTTTTTTTTGCTTTCAATTGAATTTTGAAAACACAAATCTTGTGGTACGTTAATTGAATTAAGTAATTTCCCTTTTAAGGTTATATCAGGAAAATTGTATGCTGGCCCAGAAGTAGATATTTGGTCCTGTGGAGTCATTTTGTATGCCCTCCTATGTGGAACTTTACCTTTTGATGACGAGCATGTGCCAACACTGTTCAGAAAGATCAAATCAGGCATATTTCCTATTCCTGATTATTTAAATAAACCAGTTGTTAACCTACTCTGTCAAATGTTACAAATAGATCCCATGAAGCGTGCCAGCATTGAGGATATAAAAAAACACGAATGGTTTCAGAAGGATTGTCCTGCCTATCTATTTCCTTCTCCTGTTGAACAGGATTCGTCAGTTATTGATACTGATGCAGTTAGAGAAGTAAGTTTCTTATATCGTTTTTAATTACACATTTTATATTATTTGTTTACTATTGTTTGTTAGGTTTGTGACAAATTTGGCGTCCAGGAAGCTGAAGTCCACAGCGCACTATTGAGTGGTGATCCTCACGACCAGCTGGCTATAGCCTACCATCTTATCATCGACAATAAGCGTATTGCTGATGAAGCAGCCAAAGCAGAAATTAAAGATTTT